AAGATTTGGTCTGTAGCTCTCGGCAGGTGCTTGCATACGGTAGAGGGGCATGTTGCCAGCTTCTCGTCGTGTACGCCGCCCTAGGGCTGAAGCCCAGCACCGGCAGGGATGCGATCCGCACTGGCGGCGGCGATCATATCCGACCGATGCTGCAGCGCCTCGTTGGCCCAATCGTCTCGCTTCGCACGCTTCGATGTCGTGCGAGGGCTCCTGCAGTTCAGCTTGGCGCTGCGCGGGCCACCGGGTCCGGCCTGCCCCGGCGAGGTCGGGGCTCCGCCCGTAGCCAGGACGACCCCGAGGCAGAGGAGGCGGAGACACTCCCCGCTCCCCAGACATCCGACGTCTCGATTTTTTCGAGACGCGGGCCCCCGACCTCCCGACCACTTCCCTGGAACCTGTTTTTCATCCCGAGTCGTTTTTTGACGGTCCCGAGGCCCGGCGAGGGCCCCGAAAGGACCAAAACTATGAAAAGCCTCTGGCTCGATTCTTTCGAGACGCCCGATGTCTGGGTCCGCCGCTCGCAGGCTGGCCGAGCCAGGGCCGAGGCAGGAGCCTGCTTTTCTTTGGATTCGGGCAAGTTTACTTGCATGGACGGGGGGGGGGCTGAGTCTGAAGCAAGCCGAAAACAATTCGACGTGCGGAAATCACGCAAGTCGAAAGGCACTTGCACGCTCGTGTTCGATTGAAGAGGGGCGAGGAGGGGGGGGGGAGGGGGCGAACGCCATGCAAGTCAGCTTGCCTGGATATAACGAAAAACAGGCTCCAGGGCCGAGCAGCCGAGAGAGCGCCCGGCCTCGGCTCCGAGGGCGGCGGCGGCCGCGCGGGCCCCGCGCGGCGTGCTCTGCGACGGAGGCCGTCGGCGCGGCGCCGTCGGCGCGGCGCCGCTGTGGCGCGCGGCTGGCGCCGCTGCGGCAGGCTCCTGCCGCCGCCCCCTGGCTGCGGCAGGCGCCTGCAGGAGCGGGCTGGCGTTACGTCGGGCTTGCCCCCCTACAGGGGGGGATTTTCGGCGAAGAATGCAAGATACCCCCAAAAAAGTTCAAAAGTATTACAAAAATCGTCTGGGGACTATTTTTTTGTATTTTGTTACCTTTTTGGGGCATTTGGGGGGTATTTTTGTAGTTTTCGTCGAAAATCCCCCTGTAGGGGGACACGCCCGACATAAGGCTGGCGGCAGCTGGGGGGGGAAGGCCGCGCGGGGCGCTGCGCTGCCGGGCGGGCCGAGGCGCGAGCTCGCGGCGCGGGGGCGTGCGTGGCAGAGGCGCGGGGGCTCTGCGGGCTCGAGGTGCCGAGGCCAGGTCGCTCTGCGGCCCCCGCGGCAGGCCTGCGGGCCGTGCCGCCGCCGCGGCACGCGCGCGCCGGGGTCGGGCAGCGCACGGGTGCTGCGACCAGGTGCTGCCGCTGTGCCCTCGTCTCCGCGGCAGACGCAGCCGCCCTCTGCGCTGCCAGGAGGAGGCCCCATAGGGGGAGGGCACTGGACTGGACGAGGAACATCCAAGGCCTGAAAGCCCGTGGAACGCCCCTTGAGGCTGGGCCGCGGATATCGCCGCCGCCCTCATCAGATAGGAACTCCTCCAGGCTCTGGAGCCTCCTGGGCACACTCCTTAGCCAACACCCCCACGGCAGCCGGAGTGCGCCGCTTGCGTCCGTCGGCAGCGGGCCGCCTCCTCGGGCTCCGAGCTCTGGGGGATCACCCCCCCTGGACGTCCCAGGCCCTGGCTCCACCCTCCCGCCCGCCAGGGGACCGGCAGAGGCCGACGCGACGCGGGCCACCCCTGAGCGCTGTGAGTCGTGCCAGGCTCGAAGGCTTGGCCTCGCCTTCAGCCTCCACCGGTGCTCAGAATGCCGGGCTGTGAGCGGCCCTCACGACCTCTGTGTCCTCGCCGGCGTCGCGCCTCGACGCGCTGCGGGCGCGGTGGGCGGCGGTAGTGAGCACACTGTGCTCGCACGAGTGAAGCACGAAGAATGGGAGCAGCAGCCGTGGACGGTGCCCTACCTGGGGCCCTCCTGTGAGCCTCGCGGAGGCCCTCTGGAGACCTGCTGGGGCCATCTTGGCGCCTTCGGGGGCCCAAAGGCGAGCCACGGACTTGCAGATTTGATGCGACCATGATCAATGAACACGCCGTGTGAATGAGTCCCCCTTGTTAGACGCACGTGCTGCTTCCCATGAGGATCGTGGCGCGCGCATGCATGGCACGCCGCCGCGTGACACCGCCTGCGCCCTCCATGGGCTCGCCTGCTGCCGCACGAGCTCGACATTGACCTTGGGGCCAAGCAGTGCCCCCCGCTCCCGAGGCTCCTGAAACCTCCTGAAACTGAAGCGCCAAGGAACTCCTAACGGACACGAGCGCCGACGACGGCGCCGACGGACGGCGCCGCCGCCGCCGCCGACGACGACGACGACCACGACGACGACGACGACGACGACGACGACGACGACGACGACGGCGCCGACGACGACCACGACGACGACGACGACGACGACGACGACGGCGACGACGGCCACGACGACGACGACGACCACGACGACGACCACGACGACGACGACGACGACGACGACCACGACGACGACGACGACGACGACGACGACGACGACGACGACGACGACGACGACGACGACGACGACGACCCCCGACGACGACGACGGCTGGCGGCTGCGGCGGCGAGCCGCCCGCTCCGCGGGCGCCCCCCGCGCGCTGCCCCGCGGCTCCGCGCTTTGCGCCCCCGCGGGCCGCCCGCGCTCCCCGCGCGGCCGCCCGCAGGCGCCGGCGGAGGCCGCCGCCGCCGGCGGCGGCGGCGCCCGCAGCAGCGGCGCGGGCGAGGAGGCGCGCGGGGCGCGCAGAGGTCCAGCAGTGGCGAAGCGTCCTGGCTCGCCTATGTAGCCCTACCCAAAAGTGTTCTGAGAGCCGCGCGGGGCGCGCAGAGGCTTCCAGCAGTGGTCCAGCAGTGGTCCATGGGCTCGGCATCGCTCGGACGGGTGCGTTTTTCCTGCGGCGAGGGCCATCGAGGAGCATCCTTGGTCACTCGGTGAAGAAACCACGCACGAAACCAAAAGAAAAAGACAGGAAATGGACGTCCAAGCGATGGCCAGTCACATGGCAACGCCGAGCTGAACGCAGAAGGCGCGCGGGGCGCGCAGAGGCTTCGAGCAGTGGCGAAGCGTCCTGGCTCGCCTATGTAGCCCTACCAAGCAATGTTCCAAGAACCTTCTGTGGTTGCCACGAGATGTTCTTAGAGCATTCCTGGCTGGGGTCGTCTCGTTTACACAGCACCCACACTCGAGAGCCAGGCTTGAATCTATGTTAACTCGGAGCGTGCCTATACCATTAAATCTTGATTTTAGGGTGCTGGGGGCAGGCGGGGGTAGAGCGACAACCCTAGTGAAAAGAGGCCCCACAGAATATCCGACGCAGCAGCGGGAGGAGACACACCCACAGGACAGCGAGCGGCTCGAGAGGAGGGGGCACCCTCCGAAAGTATCTGTTCGCAGCGGCGGGGCCCCATGTGAGGCCCGAAACTTAAAAGGCCGAGAGGTTCCTGACCGTGCCTCGGCCCACGGTCGGGCCATCAAGCCTCGCGGCGAAACCCCCAGAGCCCATACAAGCCCAGGGGGGGGCAGGGTTGGGAGCCGAAACTTTGCGCCAGGAGAGGAGGGTCAAGCACGAGAGAGAAAGCGCTAGCCCTTCTCCTAAAATACAGTTGAGGCGGCTATCTGAACGTTTAAAGGGGGTGTGTAAAAGTGTGTTTAAAAACGCGTATTTACACAGCACCCACACTCGAGAGCCAGGCTTGAATCTATGTTAACTCGGAGCGTGCCTATACCATTAAATCTTGATTTTAGGGTGCTGGGGGCAGGCGGGGGTAGAGCGACAACCCTAATGAAAAGAGGCCCCACAGAATATCCGACGCAGCAGCGGGAGGAGACACACCCACAGGACAGCGAGCGGCTCGAGAGGAGGGGGCACCCTCCGAAAGTATCTGTTCGCAGCGGCGGGGCCCCATGTGAGGCCCGAAACTTAAAAGGCCGAGAGGTTCCTGACCGTGCCTCGGCCCACGGTCGGGCCATCAAGCCTCGCGGCGAAACCCCCAGTCCCGTCATCACTAGACTGGCACTTGTGCCTTCACGCTTCCAGCCACTGCTAGACACGAGCGCGGCACACATTCGGGAGGGGGGGAAAGGGAGATAATTTGTGTCGCTCTCACCCACCAAAAAACCTGCTTTATATTTTCCCCATATCTATCAAGTGTTCAAGGAAGACAAGTGGAGGACAGGGTGCACGCGCCCAACTCTCGAGGCTCCTGCATTTATATCAAAAGATATAGCACCCGCGATAGGCGGGGGCCTAAAATGAGGGTGGGGGCTGCGGCAGCCTGCTCATTGCCTTCTAGCCCTGCTGCGGCCAGCCGTAGACGGGCGGCTGGTAGGCTCCGCGCCCCCGTCCGCCATGCTCTCCAGCTGCGGCAGCACGACCTCGTCGTCCTTGGCTGCCTCGAGCTCCTGCACCATGTCCTGCGCCAGCGGGGCCAGCACAGCGTCGGAGCGGTAGATGGCCTCCGCGATCTTCTGGGCCGGCCTGCGCCAGAAGGCCCGCCCCCGCTCAAGCTGCTCGGGGGTGAGCCGGCTCCGCTGCTCGATCAGCACGTGCACCTTCGTGTAGCGCTGAAGGGCCGACGTGGTCTGCCAGCGGCCCTTCCGGCGCGCCGCCTCGAGCGAGCCACCCGCGGCGATGTAGGCCGCCGCGCCCGCGTGCCTCAGCGAGTGCGGAGGCACGAAGTCCGCCAGGCCCGCTCTGTCGAAGGCCAGCCGCCACGCCTTCCTGTACTTGTCCTGCGAGAGCGGGAAGAGGAGGTCCCGTGGCGCCGCGCCCTTGCCGATCGCCCGCAGGATGGCCTTCGTCACCTGCCACGAGACCACGACGCCCTGGTTCGCTCCCGTCTTCACCTTCTCGCCCCGCTCTCTGCGGCCCAAGGTGAGCCCGACCTCCCCGTCGGGCCCGACCGCCACGTCCGTCTTCCTGAGGAGGCCCCAGTCCTGCTCCCTCAGCCAGCCGTCCAGCTGCAGCAGCACCGCGGCCCCCTCGTACAGCTGGCCGTGCTCAAAGAGGTCATAGAGCACGCACCCCACGGCCTCGAACGGCACCGGCGCCCCCTCCTTCTGGAAGCCCATCCTGGACCAGGACTTCAGCGCCCTGGCAGCGACGGGGAGCCGATTGCAGTGATCCTCGAAGATGTGCATGAAGCCATTGAACAACGCAGACGCCCTGCTGAAGGGTAACTGCATCACGTAGCACATGTCCGATATGTACCCGCCGAGCGCCGCACCCCTCTCCTCGTAAGTGGAGAAGGGGAGCCCGTGCCGCTTCACGTCCAGGAGGAAGGTCCTCACCTCCTTCTC